TAAATTTATTATATTATAAATATTAAAATAATATTAAATTGTCTACTTAATATTTAAATAAAAAGGTAATACAAGAAAAGATAAAAATGGGTTTTGGAGCGGTGTAAAGTTAAATTACTAACTTACTTTAAAGCAAACAGGTTGCGTTATTATAAGTTCAGAAACATTGTGTTATTTTTCTTAACTGTTATTTTTATGTATTAAATATATTTTTAGATTTTAGTGTTTTTTTAATTGATATTAAAATATCAAATCGCATTGAAAAATATTATTCGATATTATTCAATAGTGTATTTATATGTATTTTAGCGTCTTTACCTGTTTATTTCTATCAAGTACACTCAAAATTCTTAAAATTGCAGTCCGTAATGAAAAAGTTTAAAAACGTCTTTGATATAAAAAGATTACTATATTTAAACCAGTTTCTGTGTTACTCAAAACGGTTCAAAATAATTCTTTCAATTCTTTATATATATAAAATATTATAAATATTTTTTTTAAGTCTAAATACTTAACTAAAAAGAAAGACAAGATGAAATCTCGTTTCAGGTGTTTTAACACGCGTAGACACGGGACCAAAAAGATTTTTTTCATTCCGTAAAAATAAAAGCTAGACGTTTCAAGTAGGAATGTACCGAAGCTTCGGCAATTTTGCCAAAGCTTCGGTACATTCGTTTCAGACAATTAACAAATTTAAATGTGCTAATAATAGCAATTCGCTTATTGAAAGTTTCATGAAAAGGTAACAATTTAATAAAATTGTTGCAAGTTTAGTTTGTGAGGATGGTTTCACAATGAATGAAATAAGAAAAAAGTCTTTTATAAGACAAGTTATTTATGATAAAGCATATAACCTTCCCAAAAATTCGTCAAAAGTATAAAGCCTTGGGCTGGGTCGGATAATTTGGAATTGTGATGTCGTAGAGATTCAAAAGCTTGTCAATCAAAATTTTAAAAAACTTAACACAACCAAAATTTAACAACATTCAGTGCAGCACTTAAACAGCTATGGCACAGTGGTTGGAGCGCTTGATTTAAAATTAAAAATCAATTCAACGCGAGCTCTCGGCATATTTCGTGTCATCGGTAAGGAAGAAAGACTTTTAACCTCCTAGTTAAAAGCTCTTCTGTGGTGATATGTGACAAAACCGTTAGGTCTTCTTGGGACGCCTAAAACAAAAATTAAAAAAAAAAAAGAATATGTAATCACTTTGGAAATACATACTGTTGCATCGACAACTGACGATGCAAGTATAAGTTTGGACGTGAAAGCCCTGCTCATCACGTGCAATGCACCAATTACGTTATTAATACGGATGTGATGAATACTTTTTGTAAGAAAAGTAAGAAACTGGATTTTTGTGATCAAATATGTGGTGATGAAATAGTTTATAATTTTCAGAGTAAGAAATGGAAAATAACTTAAATAAAGTTCAAAATGGTGAAATATTTGTCGAAAATTATAGACAAGACCACCGAATTAAAATTTAGGAAAGTTACAATAAAGTTATAGAAGAAATTCAAAAAGTTGTAGATTTTTTAACAAATACTAGCATTATGTGAAACAACAGTATTCTTTTTTTAACATAATCTTTTCATAGAAGCCCTATTTTGGCTTTTAACAAATTTAAAGTAAAAAATAAAATTGATAAAAAAAATTATATAAATCTCCGTTTAACAATAAGTAGAATAGCCCAGCATTTGCTGGGTTGTTCTATTTATTGTCTTATACACTTATGCCAATTTGCAAAAGTGTGAATTGGTATAAGCGTGAATTGGCATAAGTGCAAATCAACATAACGTGACGTTAGAACAATAGGGTTCTATCTCCCTTTTGTACTGTTAAGAGAATTTAACAAAATTTGTTATACTCTCTTAAATTTCAAAATTAAAAGTAAAAATTCGTTAAATTAAAAGATCAAAATATCAAATTTGTTAAATTGATTGCTTAGAATACACATTATTTATTATTTATTGAGTAATATAAATTGGTGTAAGACAAAATAGCATATCCCCAGTGGGCACCGGACCAAAAAAACGTCTTTTGAACGTTCAAAAGACGTTCAAAAGACGTCCAAAACGTGTACGAGACGTTTAAAAGACGTCTTTTTTACGTCCATGCCCACTGGGTCGGTAGATGAGAATAATAAGGTTCTATATCCAAATTTTTATCATAAAAAATTTAATTTTCTGTTTTTAATTATAATATAATTTTTGTGTTCAAATTTATATAATATTAATATATTAATCTTTTTCTTAGTGTTTATAAAATTAAAAAATTAAAGAAATTAAAAAATTATTTGTGGTCAAGCAATTTTAAAAATTATGAAATTAATAATGGAAGAATAATTATAAAACATAAATAACATAAAAAACATATATTTTATGAATATAAACAACAACAACATTTAAATAATTAAAAATCGAAAGTTAAATTCTCACAACGTTAAAAAATGGAGATGGAACCCTATTATTCTAACGTCACGATAAGTACGAAGCTGTTGCAAAAGCTGGCATAAATGCGAAGTAGCATAAATTGACAATTGTGCCACTTCGTACTTATGCCAGTTTTTGCAACTGCTTTGCACTTATGGTAGTTCGCACTTATGACAGATTGTACTTATGTCAATATTTGTAAATTCTTATAGCGCACTTATGCCAATTCGCACTTATGAAATTCGCACTTATTCAGCTTCCCCCCAAAAAGTAGAAGTCCTTTTTAGGACTTTGTGATTATTTTATTGTATGCCACTTCAGCGTATTTAGCTGTAGCACACATTTTTTTGGCTACGGTAAAGAGCTTTTTCTTAATATTTTTAGTTTCCTCGCGGAAATCTTTCTAAATGTTATCATATGCGTTCTAGAGTTTCATTTTTATTTTTTATTTTTCAAGAATTTGCGGTCAATGAAATTTAGAATTTTTACCACAATACTCTTCTCCTTTCCTTTTTTTTTTCTTTTCCTTTTCCGTTATCTTTTCTGTTATCCGTGTACGATGTGTTTTTTCGATGAACACTTCCTGTTTAGTACCAAATTTTTCTTTCATAAATGTTTTTTATTAGCTCCACTCTTTTTGCCCCTGTCTCACCTTCAATTTCTTCATTTCCCTCAATTCTTAAATTTTTACGACAACCCCAGACTTCTAGATCTGCTAATTTCTCCTTTAAAATTTCTTTTTCTTTAACTATAGATTTATCTAGTAATGATAGATTATTTTTAGTTGCCATTTTAGATTTATTTAGTGTTTTGTATTGTATAATGGTTCAAAAACTTGATTGCTTTATTTTTTTCATTGAGTTCTTTTTTCAAATTCTTATGTTATTCTTCATATTGATCAAATCAATTTATATAATTTTGAATACAACCATTGAAGGTTTTGATCGAGATGTTCTCATACATTTTAAGTAGTGATTTTACTCGAGATAAAGAATTTTTTTTCCATTTTATTAAGTTTATTAAATAGTTTAAAAAGTTTAGTAAACTTATTGGATTTAGCGGAAAAATTGGAAAATTATAAAATAATTTATTTTCAAAAAATAATAAATTTGATATTTTCAAATAACCTTCTCCGTTTGTTTATCTTATTACTAATATTTTTAAATTTCGTGAATAAAATGTATATTAATTAAGTACTTTTAAATTGAAAAAATCTAAAATGTTCTTGATGTATTCTTAAAAAACATGATGACTTTGGTCATTTATATCTACTTTGAGTCTCTGGCTGTTTATATAAATCGTGTTTTTTTTTAATTTTATAAAAACGTTTCTTTGTATTTTTATTTTTTAATTGTATGAACAGCAAAACATATGTTGAAAAAAAAAATAAACAACAAAAAAAAAGCAAACTTGAAATCATTTAAGAAATACTTTTTGCATCGAGGCAATATCAACTTCAATGACTGGAATATCAACTTCAGTCATGATACAAATGATGGTATCAACTTCAATGATGATATAATCCTGATCTATGATTTTTTAAAAACATTTTAAAACCTAAGTTTAAAATCTAAATTAGGCGTTAGATATTAATCTCTAAGCTAGTTCAAAATTATTTATCTTAGTAATCGTAAGTAGTTTGTAAAATCAAAGACTCTTCTTTGCAGTTATTAATGAATGTAACATATAGTGTCCCACAAAAATCCATAATTGGACCACTATTATTTTTAACATACATAACCAATCTTAATAAAGCCTCTAACTTAATTACTATAATTTTTTCTGATGACACAAATCTATTCTAAACTTATGAAAACATAACTATACTTTTAATAATACGACACAAGAACTAAATAATAGATCAAATAGATTGTCCCTAAATATTGATAAAACAAAATGGACATTTTTTAGCTCAATTTCCGGTCTGTCAAATACGATGCATTGATAATGCAACAAAAATTAAAATCCTCTCGGAGCTCTTGTAGGCGAAAGCTTATGCGTGTGATACCTCATGTCATACCTTATCTCCCATGAAAATAATTTTAAAAAAATGCGATTTTCAAACTATAGTTTTTTTTTTAAGAATATAATTGGTTAGTCGGCTGTTTGACACATTATAGATGGGTGATTTTTAATTTGAGAACTTTTTTTTTTTTTTTTTAGAAAACAGTTGGTACTTTTTAAGGATTCGCTTTTTCCATTTCATTCCTAGAATCGCCCCTGCAGTCAAGTACTTACTTAAAATTAACTTAATGATTTTTTCACATGTTTTAAACAGTACTAGTCTGTTTAGCGGACTTTTGATGTGTAAATTTATTTTTGTAAAGTTTTTTCTCTTGTTTCCGGATCTATAAAACTCTTTTTTTACCCTTGAGTGTCTCGTTCTGCCTATTATCGCATTATCCTATTGTGCATCCTAATGTACTATAATATATAATCGGGTAATATTTTTATTAGTATTACCCTAGGTAGTATTACCCTATTATATAATATAGTTTAAAAACGGGGCAAAACGAGACAAAGCAATTAGATTTCTTTTGCTACGGACGTGTTTGGAAGGTTAAAATTAAATTATAGTTTTAAAGATTGGGTCATTGTTTTGAGACAATAAAATGGCTATCGCGCGAAAAGATGGTGGAGCAAATTTCAGATATTACGAATTTCAAGATACTTTAGATTCTATTGAATCTGTAAGGCAGTGGCTTTTAAGAAACTCAAAAAGTGTAAGGCTGCTATATAAGTAACCTTTCAAACGCATGTAATCTCTTCATAAGATTAAATGGTTTATTCAATTATTTTTTGTTTATTATAAACAGCTAAAAAAATAAACTTTAAAAGTTTATGTCTACAAATTACATATAGTATATATAATATATACATACATAAACAACTGAAAAATAATTAAATAAACCATTAAATTTTTATAAATTGAATACATGATTTTGAATATGTGTTGATACGTTTTTTAGTTGTTTATGTATGTATATAATATACATACCTAAACTAAAAAATGTTGAAATAAATATGTATGATATATGTTTGTGTGTGTGTTTGCGTGTACACGTGTATATATTTATGCAATTACATATATATATATATATATATATATATATATATATATATATATATATATATATATATATATATATATATATATATATATATATATATATATATATATATATATATATCTATGAGCAGCTGTGGCACAGTGGTAGCACACTTGTCTCAGAAACAAAAGATCGGTGTATACGAATACTACACTTGACTACACCGGACCTACACCAGACCACATCGTAGTATAAAACACAATTTTAATAGAGCGAAACATGCGTAAGTTATATTTGTGATACATATATACAATAAAAATTATTATAAATCTTAAAAAAAATTTAAATTTAAATTAAAATAGCAACTGGCGCTGTGAAGTATTCATGCTTCGACTGAATAAAATATGGACAGGCGCTGTAGTGTGTGCATAAAGTGACTGAATAAAATAGAGAGGCGCAATGAAGTGTACATGCAAGTGCAAAGGATTTTTGGTAGGCCAAGCAGTCCAAAAGAATAACTTATTAATCTCGTAAAAAAAAGCCTACCTCTCTGCTTAAATCCAAACACTTATTTATGAAAATTAATTCTTTTTTCAAAAAATCAAAAACATGAACGAGATACACGTATGCTATAAAATTCTGACTAAAATATATATTTTTATATATTTTAGTCAGAATTTAAATTCATCACTGTGGGTGCACAATTAAATTTGTTATAAAAATTTTAATTTTTCAAATTTTTTTTCTTTGTATAAATTTTTATTGCATTTATGTACTACGAATGTAACATAATAAATTTATTTAATATAAAAGTGTTTTGCTTTACTAAGATTGTTTTTTATACTCCAGTGTGGTCCGGTGTAGTCCGGTGTGGTCTGGTGTATTATTCATATACACCCCAAAGGATACGTGGTTCAAACCCCACCTCTGGGCAAGTTTTGCTATATTGGTTAGAAAGGAGGTGTGAACTTTAAAAGATGTCTCACTGAGTCCAAAATACATTTTTTCTTTGTATTCCGGATTATTTGAACAAACGGTGGCTTGATAAACAATGTTGTTAGAAAGATTATGGTTGCTCATCGAACATTCGGATTCATCAATGCAGTTGCATGTCTTTTCATTGCCTCCTCATGCAACGTGTTTTTATTGTGAGAGTTGATAATGGATTTTATGTTTAACATGCATGAATAACTTATTTTGATTGTGTTTCTATTAAATATTTTATGGAGTCTGCTCAATAATTAAGAAATTTATTTTGATTATATATAAATTTCATAATTTCTTTTTTTGTTTTTCATTATAAATCGCTCTATTATGAAATTTATATATAATCAAAATAAATTTCTTAATTATTGAGCACGAACAAGAGTTGTGTATTATTTTAATACAACACTACTTAAAACGATATATATATATATATATATATATATATATATATATATATATATATATATATATATATATATATATATATATATATATATATATATATATATATATACAAACATTTTATGCTGTATAAAAATTGTATAAAAACATAGACCTGAAAAGTTGGGGAAAGTATACTACTCAATGCAACTAAGGCATATAACAAACAAACTTGTAAAAAAAAAACAGCCGATAATTTAAAACAAAGCTGATTGGTTGTTAATGGCAAACCGAAAAACTTTTTAGTTACTTAATTTATGTTTATTTTTAGTATTTAATTTATGCAAACAAAGAGTTTGCATTGAAAGTAATTTATTTATAAAGTTTACCGCCTATAAAGTTTACCGTTTTTTACGCATTCTGAGTTAAGTAATTTATTATTTCAAGATGGCCGAATAAGTCCCGAGTATTTCAAATAATTATAATAAATATCGAAAACAGTTTTTTTTATGGGGCTAGAATTAATAGTTAGTTCATTCTTTTATAACTTGTTCATTTCACTATAAATTTTAAACTATAACAAGATATAAGTTATAACAGTAACTTATGGTATTTTAAACTTCGCCAAACGAGAAAATTATAAGATAATATGAGAGATATTAAGTTTAAAAAATAACTAATAGTTACAAACTAATGTAAAAAAGATACAAATTCATACTAAAGAACCCTTCAATACAATAAAAGGCGGGGGTGGGGGGGGGTGGTTGAGTAAAATTTTTTTTTTCACAATTTGATTTTTTTTTTTATGCTTTAATTCGAGCCCTTGCAGTTATAAGTTACGTTTTTCTGGTGCTTTAGAAATTTGTGAAGATCTATGAGCAAGAATGTTAATTTGCTCTATAGGATTCATTTTGTTTTCTAGTTCCTTTTTGGAGATTAAAGAAGTTTCATTGCTCCCATTAGGGGTTGGAGGATAATTATCGATGGCTGTTAGTTCTAAATTGTTGTTTGATGTTTGTGTTATAGGACTTGTTCTAATGGGAGCCAGCTGTTTAGTAGACACTGTGTCTCATGACCACTAGGAAATCTCACATAAGCATAATGAGGATTTGCTTCAATGAGCTGAACCTCATTTACTGAATCTTCATATTTACTTTGCATCACATTTCTTTTTATAAGTACAGGTCCTGGATTGACAAGCCATGAAGGAATTGAAGATCCAGATGATGATCTTCGTTGAAAATTGAAAAAGTGTTCATGTGAACTACAATTAGTAGAAGTACATAATAGAGGTTTTGTAGCATAAAGTGCATCAAGTAGAACTCTTTTCAATGATGATATAGGCATTTTTCGAGATTTCAGAGTGAGTAAAATCAACTTCCAAATAATTCCATTGTATCTTTCAACTTGGCCATTTCCAGTTGGGTTGTAAGGGGTTGTTCTGCTAGTTATGTTCCCTTTTGATAAGAACCAGTACTTTAATTCAGAAGATATTAATGAAGATCCGTGATCGAGAATGAACATAGCTAGGCATACCAAAGATGAAAAATTATAAATTGTTCTTAACCAATTGTTGCATGTTTTTGCTGCATCTGGTGAGTTCGAATATATACCAAGTCTATTAGGTTTTAATGGCTTAAAAAAAAAGTTCTTTTTTTTAAAAGCCAGAAATCATTTCATAAACATATCTTGCTCCATCCAATATGTTTGAAATTTAATATTTGGGACCCATTGTACTGCCTCCTTTTAAACACACGTCTTGTCCCTTTTTGACACACAACTATTGTTTTGCCTTGATCATCCAAAGAAACTGTTTTTCATATTGCTTGGTGACGCATTCAAAAGAACAATCAATTGTTTCTGGCGTACAAGTGGCTTTATTAAATGCTAAGTTGTCTGCTTTCTATTAAAATCTCTCTTTGCCAGGCTTGCAATTTTTAAGTAAGTGTGATTGATCTTCACCTTTAAAGTAGCCAGAATCTAATTCAAGGAGTTTATTTTAGGTTAAAACATAATCCCAGTCACCAAGTGAGTGGATCATATAATTTTTTCTGTTTCATTTGAGAGTACCGTTGTTGTACCTGAGTCATGGAAACTTTTGTTGTTATTTTTTCAATCTTTGAGTGTTGAGAATGGAATGCCATATTTAAATGCAGCTTTTCTCAGTCACATACTGTTTTCTTTCATATCAGTTAATGCGGCTAGTATATCATCTTCCTTGCATGCTTTTGTTTTTTTAGTTGACATTTTGAAGTGAGTCAGTTGAGTTAAATTGAGTGAGTTATGATTTTATTGACAAATAACATAGTAGTTGATTTTTAATAATGAAAAAGTGATGGTTGTGTTGACAAATAACATAGTTCGTTTTTAAATAAACCGCAACTAACACTATGTTAATTAGATACAGATAGACGCTTAGTCACTTGCAAAAAACTAAACTAAGTAAATAATCAAGTGCAATTTTATCAGGAAAGAGAGTTTTTTTTTTACTTTTTTGATTTTATATTTAACTTTTTGTTCTAGCTGCATAAAAATATGTTATCAGAATGGAAATTAAATTTCCAACAAGATGGTGCTGAAAGTATTTTATATCAGTTTCGGTTCTAGCGCTATTTCGTTTGCAATGAGAAAAAATATATAAAAGTTTTTGATTCCCTGTTAAAGATGTATATAAAAAGAAAAAAATTGAGTTGAATTAGCATATAATTTTATCAATTTAAATAAAGGAGATAATCCTGTATTCGAATGTTTTTTCAATTTTTTTCATAGCCATATCCATTTAGTTTTTATTTGATAATTTCAATCAGTGTGCGAAATGATGTGGTATGCGGTTTGGCTCAGTATTACTCTATTTTTTGTTTGTAATATTTTTTATTTTTGTTTAACTTTTTAAAAGTAAAAAATTTTTATTATTTGCAAAGCAGCATCTTTAAGAAATAGTAGTGCTAAGTGCAAGCTAATGTGCTAAGTTGTTTTATTTAAAACAAGACCTGTATATTTAGAACTACCTGGCTCTGACACAGAACTCGACAACAAGAAAGTAAAAATGAGAAAGACATTTAAAGATGAACTTAAAGAATTGTTTAATATTACAACAAAGACAAGATGACAGAAATACAGAACAAATGAGATGACAAATTCCTTTGCATGCAAAAGGGAAGATATTTTTTCATGCAATTGGAGAGGAGTAGATGTAAAGATAGTAGCAAAAGAAAGCGAGGAAAAAAGAGAGAAAAGTGAAAATGAAATATGAAGAATGCATGACAAGGGGCATTCATGAAATAGAAGTTGTACTTTTTTTGTTAACATCTAATTGGAAGGCAAAAGAAGATGAAGAGTATCGGACAACTTAGACTAAGACATGTACATCTACAATGTCAACATCAATAGCTTTGTTTCATCAACAAGAAATAAATTTTTGAATATCTTCCAGCCCCCTGAAGTTCTAGGTATTTTGGGTTGCGTTTGCCTCCCATAGAGCTGTGTTTGTTGCCAGCGCTGTTGCACAGTCGCTTGGACATTTCAGAAATAACATTATTACCAAGTTCAATCAGATGATCCAAAATAAAAAAAATGACAACAAGCTGCTGTAATGGATGAAAAAAATGTTATTGTTACAGGGAATGGCCAGGAAACACAGTTGGCTATTCATAAATGGGATAAAGGAACTAGAGAGATTCAAACAAATGCCTTTATTGAAGTAATTGATAAATGAGATCTGCTTTTACAGATCTAAGTCCTTGTATTCAACACAACAGCAAGAAATACTGGGTTTCATAAGGATGGGTTTGTTAATATTAAAGAAGCTTTAGGAACTAAAATGGTCTGGATTTCATGCCATCATCATGTTATCAAAGATATCCTTGAATAAGTTTTTATGTTTCTGTTTGGTCCAACCCAAGTTCCATCAACTGCACTATTCAAACAGTTACAGAAATGATCAATAAACCAACATGTTTATTGTACAGCAACTGTTTCAGGATTGAATACTGAAAAACATGCAACAGGAAATTCTTGTCTATTTACAAGGTACTTTTGAAAAAACAGCAATAAAGTAACAATTATCAGGAATTTTTACGTTTATTCTTTTAGTTGAGTAGAACAAAGCACTATTTAGAATCCAATCTTGACTTAATGACATTAAACTTTTGTCAAATCTAAATACTTATCTAATAAATACTGTTGCCTTGTTGGCAAACTTCAAATCTGAAGACTTATCCAATGAAGAATGTTGCCAGCAAGGCAACAGTCTTCATTGGATAAGCTTTTTCTCTCTAAGCATCTGATTTGCATGACCCTTTTAGATGACAGAGCGTCAGCATCAATCAATCAAAAAAAAAAAAGTACAAAATCTACATCAACCAAAATTGACACCCTTCAGTGTGTAAAGTTGATAAATGAATCTGAATAGTTGAGATTGGAGGATCAAGTGATCAAAAGGATATCTTTCTTTGATGTCTTTATTTAGGAAGGCTGAGAAAAGTCTCAGATATTCCTTAAGAAACCAACAGGACAGTGGAAATCTAATCCAATCAATCAAAAGCTTTTATTAACTGGCTGCACACATAACAGTTATTAATGATGCAGCTCAAAGGTAGATCAGTTTTATTGAGAAATACAATAACACGCTGACAAAGAATGAGAAAGAGAAACAGTTTATTCATTGATTGGTTGCAAGCCATCACAAGAAATTCCCAACGTTATAAAAGACATCACTTATGTGGAACAATTTATCTGAAAACTGTAAAACTAAATTCTTAATTATATTAAATTTTTTGGTTGCATTTTTTAATTATAACTTTAATTTCTCAATTTTGCTTTAATATAGAATTCTTTAAGTTTTGAATTTATAATCAATATAAAAATATTTTAAATATTGGCAGAACCTAAAAACTGTAAAATGAGTTGACCTCTAAACCTTAAATGTTTTCATTAAAGTTTTTCACAATTGTTAAAATAATAACAAAGGACAAAGGTCTCTAAAATTCAACAAATTCAATCAGACTCTGTTAATATCCCTACTGTATCGTTGCTGTGGATACCATCACTATCCACAAAACTAAGAAAAATATTTCAGAAAGCTGGCTACAGAGTAGTCTTCAAATCAATTCCAGATTTAAAAATATTACTAAAGTCAAAAAACAAAACTAAATTACCACAAAATAATCAACCCGGAACTTATTTGATTGAATGCCAATGCTCAAAGAGATACGTAGGCGAAACTAAACTTCAAATTAGGACTCGGACTCAACAACATCTAAAAAGTTTAAACGAGGGGAAACATTATCAATCTGCAATAGCCACCCATAATAAGTTTTGCTCACAAGAAATAAAATGGGAAAACGTAAAAACTATTAAAGTTGAAATTTGATTAAAAAGTGCACTAAGCTCTAGAAATACAGAGTTTCCAATGTTCACCTTTACATAGCGGAATTAATTTAAACAACGGGCAGTTTGTGAAAATTAAATTTTGGACTCCATTTTTTACATTTTTATGTAAGCAAGAAAAAAGCCATTCAACTGCTGACGTCAGTTAGTTTTTAACTGTTTCTAATGTTACAAAAAAAAAAAAAAATTATTGTATAATTTTTACGAGCTGATGATGCTAGTAACCATAATTGAAAATTTCGAATAATAAACTATAAATTGTATTAAAAGAATTCGTATTAATTGATGTTTTCTGACTATATATATATAACATATATGCATGATGTCAACACTAAAGATTTTCTTTTTTATAGTTTGCTCAAGGGGAACCTCCAAATGCAAAAGGGCTATGCGAGTTGATTAAACAATTAGTACAATACCAGGAGGTATCGATATCTAATTTATTTGTTATGTTTTTATTATTGTTTACTTTGAATTATTTTTTTAAATCTTGTTAACTCTTTAAGCCTACTATGCATTGCTCTAAAATCAAATAAAGAAATAAGCTAATATCTAAAGAAACATCCAGTATGTTAAAATGAATGTTTGACAAGATATTGAATGTTTGCTTTCTAATTCTATATTTAAAACAATCAAATTTGGTTTTTATATAAAAGCTGTTTTATTGATTTTTTTTTTCAGTTAATTTGAAATTTAAGATGAGTTTGGAAAACTTAATAAGTCTGAATAACTTTATTAGAAAAACAGCACATGCTTTTATTTTATAGCAGTTTACTGATTATATCTGTGATAAAGAGCGATGACTTTTTCCTGAACATGTATGAATTTAGACTCTTTACCTGCTCTAAATAGATAAAATCTACAGATTTAATTAAGAACTATATTTGTTAATCTTGTTATTTCAAAGAATAAAACCAAATTATTTTGTTATTTAAAAAATTTCATCAATAGCTTAGCTTCTTTCAAAGTTCAAAAATAGTTCTGCTGCTAAATTATATTTAAAAACATGTAGGTTCTTTTTAAAAATTGAACTCAGAACAGTTTTTTTTTATGGTTCTTATTTTAGTTCATCGTATAAGGTATTCTTTTTTATTTTCTTTATATTCACTTGGAAAAGTTTATTAAATTACTTTTCAGATTCATTTAAACTTTGAAATGATTGTAATTAAATCATAATCATAATCATCAATCAACCAATGAAATGAACCAGAAAATGAACCAGAAATAATTAACAACATTATTACCTATAGAACTATGTTAAAAAAATACTGTAGGATTTCTTTATTTTTATTTTAAACACAAGAAAAGGTTTTCTCCAGATATACTCAATCTTTTTTGTTTTTTTTTAATTTTATTTTTAGTTTTCAATACATTTCATTAATTTGATAACATATTGAAGTAATACAGAAGTTTGGTATTTATGATATGTTATTTTTATTTTATTTTTTTATCTCCAAAACACAAACCTTGATGAACAAGGTCCTTGCACAGAGAAAAAAGTTGAGCATGGTACTACCAGAGATGTGGAAGGGATCAAACTCTGAACTTTTTGCTTATTATTTACCGCTACACCACTAATGCATTAAGTTTAAAGGTTTAACAAAAACATAAGGTTTTTAAACCCTTAAAATTCCCATTTTATAAAGACAAATTTGTATTTCTAATTTTTTTAAAGAAATTTAATTCTGTATAAAAAATAATTAAGAAGGTGAAATCAGAAAAAATCTCTCAACAAAGTGAAATCCTCTCTTTGCTTAATAATGCCTAGTGAAAAGATGCAAAAATGATTGTATTTTTAAAAATAAAAATAATTCTTAAATTAAATATTTTCTTTATCAGAACTTTGTCTACTTCCATTTTAACAATTTTTTATTATCTATGAAAGCATATTAGTCCAAATTTTTCATTATCTATGAAAGCATATTAGTCCAAATTTTATATTATCTATGAAAGCATATTAGTCCAAATACACATTGTGTTGCTGGGTTTTCATAATTTCTTTTCTATATAAAGGACAGTAAAATCTTTAGAATATTTTACTCTTCTTTCTATAGAATTTTAGATGCAGCAGTATAATTATCTGTCATAATTAATAAATTATTGCAATAATAACGCAATAGAGGTTTTAATGAGCTTCCTGTTTTAAATTAAGATATATTAGTGGCTCTGTTATATAGATTTGTTCTATTTAGGTTTTCGCTAATGTAATAAATATATACATTTTGCACTATAAATTTTTTAGGATGCATTTGGTAAGAACATAAGTAATCCTCCATTAACTAGATTACCGGTAACTTTTTAAAGTACTTTTATTTTTGTTAAATATTTTTAATATTTAATAACTTTTTTTATTTAATATTTAAATTTAATATCAAATTATAAATAAAATCAAAATAAAATATAAAATTTTGATAATATTTAATAACATTTTTTCCAAAAAAAACATTTTTATTTTTCAATGTTATATTTTAATATAACAAATTTTTTTTTTCTTTTTTTTTTGCAAATATATATATATTTTAATAACAAGTTCTTTAAAACTTTTTAACAACATGTTTCATCAATAAAAAATGACATCATCAGAGAAAATTTTTTTTTATACCTGATGATATTGACTGTTATTAAAGAAACATGTTAAAAAGTTTTTAAAAAATTGTTATTGATTTGAAAATTTTTACTAAATTAGTGCTACTTAGATCATTTGGATATATTTATATAAATATATATATATATATATATATATATATATATATATATATATATATATATATATATATATATATATATATATATATATATATATATATATATATATTCTTCTTTTAATCTTAAAAAAATTACACTAATTATAAATTTTAATATTTTAGCACTAGAGGCCTTTCAAAAAATCATCAGTAGTGCTGTTTTTGTTATCATAATAACAAAATATAATTTTTTAAAAGAAACAGGAAATGATAATTATTTAATGTTGCTGTTAGCAACTATTGTAATCTATATTTAATTAAATGCTTAATTAGTAGAACCTTTAAAATTAATAATACTAAACTTGTTTTTACTATGACATTAACAATCTTTTTAACATTCTCATTCATTTTTAACAAGTTGGAAACATTAATATGTTTCCAACTTGCCTTATAATTAAAATTTTTAATTCTTATCTTACCAAAAAAACTATTTCTACTAATCAATACAAATCCAAAAACCAAGAAGTTATGAAAAACTACTTTACTTTATGTTGGTAATGTATCTGATCAAACAAAAAAGCGTTTAAACTCTATCATTAAAAAATATTTTATAAACCTATAGTATAGATGTAACTACATTAAAAAACATTGAGTTTAAACTCTATCAACAAAAAACCTATAAACTTTAATTTAATTTTTACCTCTTTTAAAATTTCTAATTTAATATTGATGCCCTCGTTATCAAGTATATTCAAAAAAAAAATTTTTAGTAGATTTATGGTTTTTTAATATACTTGATAATGAAGGTAACAATATTCTCTTTAAGTATCATAAAAATAAATAAATATATTTTTAACAAGTAGGAATAAATCCATAAAATCAGGTTTTATTTTAAAATATCTATACAATTAAATTCTTTTTAAGATGTCAATATTTAATATTATACTAATATATATATATATATATATATATATATATATATATATATATATATATATATATATATATATATATATATATATATATATATATATATATATATATATATATATCAACTCTCGGAATCAGGATCGGTATTCAGCCATGCCGACCTAACTGCTGACCAGACAGTGTCTGAGGTCGGCATTTTTTTTGCCTCAGAGTTTTAAAACCTAATTTTGTTTGCTATTTCATATAAACTAAAAACGACAAAACGAATGTTTTATTTAAATTCTAATTAAAATAATAAAAATAAAAGTGGTATAACAAATGTTTTCTTTAAGTTCTAAATAAAGTACTTAAATTAAAAACAAAAGAAAGAACGTTTTTTTATTTTAACTCTTAATAAACTAATTAAAATTAAAAAAAGGCAAAATAAATGTTTTATTTAAATTCTGAACAAAAGTAATTTTAAAAACTCATCAAGAAAAACTCAAGAAAAATAAAACAAAAATTCAACAACATTCAACTCAACAAAGTAATTTAAATAACTCAAAAACGAAGGTTTTATTAAAATTCTAAATAAAATAATTAAAATTTAAACAAAAAAGCAAACGATTTAATTAACTTCAGAATATAATATTACAAAAAACCAACAGAAAGATAAACTTTTTAATTAAATTCAAAATGTGAAACTTTTATTTAAATAGTAAACAAAGCAATTAAAATAAAAATAGAATAAAGGACGTTTTATTTAAATCTATAAAATAAAATAATTAACTAAAATTAATAGAATAAAATAATTAACTAAAAAAGAAAACACAAGGGTTTTAATAAACTTTTAAATGAAATTTTTCGAAAAACTAAAGCAAAAGCAAACGTTTTTTTTTTTTTCAAATATAAATTAATAAAATTATCAACCTTTATTTATATAGTAAACAAAACAATTAAAATAAAAGCAAACAAACAAAAGCTTTATCAACTCCAAATTATGATATAGTTATAATAAAATTGCCAAAGTTAATGTTTCATTTAAATGTTAAAATGATGCATTCCTTTTTACAAGTTTAAAGCGAACGTTGACACTTGATGTTTTGTTTTTCTGTCAATTTTATACTGAATTTTTCTGCATGCGTCTATTTGTTGAGCTCTGGTTCTAAATTTTGTGCCAATCTGATAAATATAGGTCGGCGTCCAACCTTATTTTTCCTAATTGCAAGGGCTGTATGTGTATATATATATATATATATATATATATATATATATATATATATATATATATATATATATATTAGTGTGCATCAAACGCCCCATACTTTCAAAAATTGATCTGTCCCTATTCTTATTGCTTCTCACAAGACACTGTTAAATTTTTCAAAAATTGAATGAAATTTAGGGGGCCACCTTAACTCTAAAACTTGAAACGATTTAGAGTTAAGGTGGAAAATTAACTCTAAATCGTTTTGAAACGACCCTAAACAAAAAAAAAATTTTTTTTTAAATGTGTGTCATGTTGGGTCTCAAAAGAAGAAAAATTTTATAAAAATTTCAAAAAGAAGAAAAATTTTACACTAAAGTTAGTATTTTAATTACATCAAAATAATTATTTTTTAACAAAAAACAAACAAACATTTTTTAATGGTTTTTGTCAAAACTTATTTTTAAGGTATTTTCAACAAAAAATGATAATTATTTTTGAAATTTTTATAAAATTTCACTTCTTTTGAGACCCAACATAGCATACATTCGAAAAAGTTTTTTCTTCTTCTGTTTAGGGTCTTGTTGCAAGTTTCAGACTTGAGGTGGCCCCTCTAAATCTCATTCAATTTTAAAAAAAATTAACAGAGTGTCTTGTGAGAATTAATAGAAAGTTGTTGTAAGGTTGCATTTTGTTATTTTTTTTCTACAAATACTGTCATGGTGAATGCTAAATTAACTATCTCTATTATGATTAACCAAAACTTATTTTTATTTAGATTTTTATTCAACAAGTTCCTTTTACTGCATCTGTCCCTTCATGCTATAAAAATTCAGCATAAATTTAATTTTTATTTTTGGCAATAAGGAGTACACTGCTTTTGATAATAAATGAACTAAAGTTAAAAAATATCAGTCCTTGTAACTATCGCGCAAGTTTAATTTTTAAATGAATGAACTTTTGATCTTTAGCTTGCTATTTTAGTTTATGTGAGGAAAACAAAAAAACGAAGTATAAACTTTTTGAGACTTTTTGTTTTTTTTCCTTTCAATATTTTTTTTTAAATAACAAAAAAAAAGGTTTCAATAACTTAATAAAAGTTTTATTTAGATCTGTTTAAAATAACCAATGTAGTTTTTTAATAATTCTTAATAATTAAAAATATATATTTTTTAAAATATATGTTTTTAAAAATATAATATGGTTTTTAATCAAAATAATAAAATATTTTTTAAAATATGTTTACTGTAATTATCTCTTTAATTATCTTTAATTTAAAAGGCGCCTTAAAATCACTTTAAAAATTATAACCTTTAGTAAAAGGTTATAATTTTTAGTAAAAAATTATAACCTTTAGTAAAATCAAAATGCTTATGAACAGATTTACTAATATATAATAAAAAATTTAAATTTAAAGTAATAGAAAATAAGTTTATTAAATGCTTATGTTTTTAATTCAAATACAAGACGTAAAACTATTTTGTTAATTTTACAAATATTACGCAATATAATATATGTAAATATACTATGTAATGTAAATATTTATTAACATTTGTTTAAAATATTTTTAATTATTGTTTTAAATTAAATTTACTAAAATATAGTTAATAACTGTTTAAAATACTTTTAACAATTTTCAATAAGCGTGGTATATGCAACAAAAGCATTTATTAAAATCTTAAAATAGTTTGCTTTTAGCTAAAGTTAACATCGTCCACCAGTAAATTCATGTATTCAAAAAATGCCTTTAAATCAACACCTTATTAAAGGATAAAACTGAACAAGATAAACATAAATGATTATTAAGAAAATGATGATTAAAAATTATTGTTGCGGCACCTGTTTAACTAGGGGAGAATGAAGGGGAGGGGGAAATCAAAAACATACTAACATAGTTCCCTCCTCCCCTCAACGTTGCTGAAAAAAAAACAAAGTTCCCAAATAAACTCTGGGTTCTTCACTGTGATATTAAGTATAATATTAGTACCCCTTTAGACTATTTACAAACAGTTTAAGTGTTTTTTGAAGTTGTTGAAGTGCGAAGTAATTGAAGCTGTTAAGGTAATTTGGTTTTGAAGTGTTGAAGTTATTGAAGTATTGTGATTTTTAAAGTTATTGAAGTGTTTTTGAAGCTGTTAAAGTGTTGTAGTTTTAAATTTTGAAAGTACAACACTTTAGTTGTTATGCTATCGCTTCATGTTTATTATATATTATTATGTTTCTATATCATTGTTTATAATTATGTTTGTTTTAATTACATTCAATTTTAGTACTAAGTACTGAGTTAAAAAAAAACAACTATTTGCTTGAAAATGTAAATAAATATTTTTTAGTACTAAATACTGTGTTTAAAAAAACTATTTGCTTGAAAATGTAAATAAACATTTTTATTGAATAATTTAATATTAAAAAGTATTGAATAAGGGAATATGGGGTTGTTTTATTTTTTTGTCTTCTGTAGTGTTGCTTTAATTTTTTTTTCTTGATTGTTATGGTTTCTTGTAATAGATTAAAGTTTTTATGGACTATTCTCCAGAAGGTTCTCTGTGTCATCTGTTATCTTGTGCATTTAAATTCAAAGTTAATCAAGGATGGTATGTTTTTTATATATACTTTTTTAGCTCTTCACTTTTTTGTTGATAAATTCTAGTTGATCTTTTTAATATTTTAATTACTCTTTTTTGTGGTCAAAGATAATATATTCACAAGTCTATCCTAAATAATTTTCGATATTTAAGAATTATTAAATATTTGTTAGATATTCAAATATATATTTTTTTGATACAAAAAAATATATATATATATTAATCTCTTATGGTTAAAAAATCATTGAAATTTAACTTAAAGTGAGAAGATTTTTTAAATAGTCCTAGGCCATAAATCCTAGATTTATATTGCTTTTTTATTATTTCTTGTATATTTAGTTGGTCTGATTCCAAATAGTTTGAATTTTAGAAATACTCTTCAAGATTTAGATTTCTAATAGATCTTTATTATATTTTATAACTTTTTTTCAATCACAATGTTTTCAATAGCAGGGTTCCCACTCCTCCTTAAAAACCATAAATATCCTTAAAATATCAAAACCTCCTTAAATGTCCTTAAATAACCTTAAAAAAGTTAAAATTTGACTGCACTCCTTAATTTCTCCTCTTTTTTTTTTATTCATCTAGGAAATTTTATTTAAGTGAAGGGATTATACTTATTATTAAAGAAGAAAATATATAGTTTTTTGATAGTTTGAAAACCTATATTTATATATATATATATATATATATATATATATATATATATATATATATATATATATATATATATATATATATATATATATATATATATATATATATATATATATATATATATATATTTATTGAAAAAAATAAGCTTTTGTTTTGAATATAATTGTTTTCTCCTTAATTCTCCTTACTTTTTTTTTCCAGAAAATTGTAATTCACGACAAAATCTCCTTAAATATTAGGAAAATATCTCCTTAAACCTCCTTAAAATCCTTACTTTTAGCCTCAGTTTTAATAGTGGGAACCCTAAATAGAAAGTTTCTGTTTTTAAAAATATTTTCAAGCAACAAAATAAAATTAACTATTCAAAATGTTTATAATTTAAATAAAACTTTCTTCCTCACTTGCACTATATTTTAAATATGATACTGCTACTGTTGCTAGATTTACATTTAATTTTCAGCAGTGATTCTCGCTATGCTGGGTATTATGTATTTGGTATTCTGGATGCCGCTGAATTAAATTTATAGTTATTGAGCGTTAAAATTATTTTTAATTTTTTCAAATTTTGTTTTTATTTCAAATTTCAATCGCCAAATGATTAGAGAATTTTAAAAGACTAGATTTTTTTGTTCAAATAGATTTCTTTTTAAACAAAATTTCAAGAACTTGACAACTTGCATATATATAAAAATGTTTGATCTTGATATTGCTTTAAATAAAATATAATGGTATCATGTTTTTTATATTCTATTTAAGATTTCTTGTTAAAATAATAAAATAATAACAACATGTAAGATATAAATAGAAACATTTATATGGCTAATTTTTGCGAGTCTTTAAGTACATTAAGTAAATTTAATAGTTGAGTAACTGTAAGTTACTGTAGTAACTTGACTGGTTGTTTTGATTTAGTTTAAAGGTAAATTCACTGCGATGTACTTTATCCATTCAGTAAATCAAAGTAAACTTTAAAATAATATATTGGCTTCCGCTTAGAGATTTAAAGTAGTTTAAATTCAAAAGGACTTTATGTTGAATCAAAATCTCCGTGCATTGAGAGCAAAGATTCTATTCAAAAGATAAATTTAGTATGACGTACTTTATGACCCTAATAAAAAGCTTTGACAAAAACTAAAAAAGAAAAAAATTAGAAAAGAAAATTTACAAAAAAGCAACAACAAAAGAACAAACAAATCGCAAAAATATTTTTTTTAAGATAAAACTAATCGTGAAGGTGTAAAAAGCAATTGAGATATGTTTAATTCTGCCCTGGATATACTACCTGCCCAGACGCTAACCTGTCAGTTGATGCCTAAATATAACAGTAATAAATTGTTTTTATATCATTTAAAATTTTTTTGTTTTTTTATGTATCTATATATATGTTTCTTCGTGTATTTAGATATCAGGCCTTCTCAAGAGAGGCGTGCGGTCACACGCCTTGAATGACCACACATATATACTTTTTTGTTGATAACATGACCACGATTTTTTTTGCATTTATTAAAAATGGCGCATTTTAAAAAACGCGCTGAAAAAACTAAAATATATATATAAAAATAAATATATATATATATATATATATATATATATATATATATATATATATATATATATATATATATATATATATATATATATATATATATATATATATATATATATATATATACACACATTATATATTATTTTTATCCTTTTATTTTGTCATTAATTAAAAATATATATACGTGTATTATTGTTAGGTTTCTATTTTCTCATAAATAATTATAATAATAAATTATTAATAATAAAAAAAAAAAACCAATAAGATAACTAATTAATTTGATTTTTTCAGCGCATCTTTAAAATGCATCATTTTAATATATGCAAAAAAAAAATTGTGGCCATGTTATCAATAAAAAAAAATATATATGCGTGGTCATTCAAGGCGTGCCACTGCACGCGTCTCCTAAGAAGGCCTGATATATATCATTTTTTCATTTATATATATATGTTTTTTCATATGACAGGCGTCGTTTTGACTTTCAATCACCTTCAAGAGCCGATCGAAATGTTGAAATGTTTCTCAATATAGAAAGATTGCTTAAAGAAGTATGATTTCTATACTCTTGATATTTTATTAAAATTTAAAATCATTGTTTTTTTAAAATTACATATAATCATTATGATTTTCTAACTATCATTGTTATTTGTGGATGGTTAAGGTGGTTTTGCACATTTACACTTTACTTATATTCTTGTGCGTCTTTCCCCCCATGTTTTTCTTGGTAAATTATCTGTTTTAACAGATAAATTACAAAGGTGCTTTAAAGATAATGCATTGAGACTAGGATTTAGTTAATGATGTTATAAATTTTTATATATTTATATGTTTTTAAATAGTTCATTTTACTTATAATTAGCAGCTTTGAAAGATTTTTTTGCATTTGCACGCTGTTCTTAGAAATAATAATAATTAGGCTTTGTACTTGTTATAAATATTGCTTTTATTTATCATTAGTTTTTTTATATTTGTAAAATGTGTAAAAGATTTTTTTATTATAGGTTATAACTAATATAGTTTTTTTAATATTATCTAGAGGGGGTTTCTCGAATCACGTAAAATCTATTTAGACCCAACCATAGATGAGAAGCAGCATGCTAAGTTACAAGATATTGTAAAAAGACATCAGGTTTACTTTTTTATCTCTTCAAAATCTCTTCAATACTTCAATAGCTTTTTATTTATCTTTTTCAATTACTTTTTGTTTGAATGTTTGGAAAACCTTAGAAGTTAAACTCAAAAGTTTTTCTTGAAAAGTTTTTCAAAAATCCTTTTAATCGTTTTAAACTTGACATGAAAATGTTGTTAGTTTTTTTATAGCTTGTGGCAAAAACTATTATGCTGTTTGTATGTATAAAATTTGCAGTTTTAATTAAAATTGAATTTAATTAGACAATGAAATAATAAGTTTTCACAAAATCAAAATTATTTTTTTCACAAAATCAAAGTTATTTAATTTCCTAGAAGCTTATAACTGAAATATTTTTTAAATTCTACTTTTAATATTTTAAGTTGATGTCTTGAAAGTTTTTTTTATATGTATTTAATCATACTAAATCATACTAAAAGTTTTATTTTACAGCCTTGTTTTTATGTTAAAATTGTATTATTTTACAGGGTATTTTAGTTGACACAAAAGAAAAGTGTACTCATATTGTTTATTCATGTCCAACTGATGCTCAAAATGATGGTAAGTTCTTTATATTGTATATATATTTTTTATGTTAATTCACCTCCCCAAGGCCAAGGAGGCCACTATAGACAAGGAGGCTACCTAATTATGGTTATAACCTTCTCTCAACTCTATAATTCTGAAACACGAACCTTGGCGTACAAGGCTGCTGCGCGGAGAATCAAGTTGAGCGTGGTACTATCAGGGGCATGGTGGGGATTAAACTCGGAACCTTATGAAGTGAGTGCTCTACCACTACACCACTACCGCATATATATATATATATATATATATATATATATATATAATATATACATATATATACAAATTTCGCGCTCGTAATACTAAAACATTTTATCAACGAGCGCAATTAAGCACGTTCGGCATCAAGTCTTTGATAGCAATATTCAGAGTTGGATGGGGAGGGGTCACTCAAAAGTATAGGGAGGGGGTCACTACATAACTTTGTTTCCTATTGGAGTTGAATTATTATGCTTGATTGTGGACATTCTAAATAACAGAAATAATTTAATATAATTTAAAATAAATAATAGTTGAAAAAAAAAAGATTAAGAATATTTCTTTTATTTACAAAAGATGTGTGAAAATTTAAAACAATAAGCAAAAGAATCTTACATTTTTACAAATTCTTTTGTATTAAAACTTTTGATTTTTCAAAATTCAATCAAGTTTTAATTTTTTAATTTAGATTTTCTATTTCATTGGGACAAAATTTTTTTTAAATTAGTGACATTCCATTCTATCTGTTATCAGAATGACTTCATAACTTTTCAGTGGTTGTTTGTACAAAATAGACAACTGCTTTCTAATTTAAACTGAAAGCGCCGTTTAAATATTATCAAATGAATAATATTTTATATATTTGATTATATACTTAATAAATGTATAATAGACTTATACTAATATAATATATATATCAGTGTGAATATATATTTACTTATACAAATATAATTTATAAATAACTTATATACTGACGTAATTTTGAGAAATGCGTTTATGAAACTAGTAACGTTACATTTTTTCTTTTGTTGTCAGTGAGCACGCTTCCAAAAGTTTCAATTCAAAGTTATATAACAAATATATTTGTTATACATGTTGTTTATTAAATCTTTTTTTTTTTTTTTAATTTTAAGTTGCGTTTAGTTTAACTTTTTTAATAAACAGACTTTAATATAAGCTTAACTAATTCAAAGATACCAGTGAAAATATTTAGTTTATTAACTGATATTTGAAAAAAAAAATTGATATTTTAACGTTTTGATGATTTTAATTTTAAATATAATATATTTGAATATTATATTTAAATATAATAAGTCATTAATTAATAGAATGTGATCGAACCTGTACGAAATAAAAGCTTCAAGTGAAGTTTTGGTTTCATAAACTTTTTATTTTAGATATTTATTTATAAGGTATTTATAAATATTACGCTAGATATTAGTATTAATTATTTAAATATTAATTTTTTAGCATTTAATTTTAGAATTTTGATTGAAGTTTTGATATTTTATTACATGGACTTATATGCAATTCAAAGTAAAAGTTAAGCAAAATTTTTTGTCAAACAAACCCTAAATAACTATACGAGTTAGCAAATGGTTTGACTTAACCAGTGTACAATTAAACTGATAGTATGATAAAGTTTTAAAAAAAAAATGCTGGATTTAGCTTTCAAATAGAAAATAATCATTTTAATTTGAACTTATACTGCATAAATTTAAATTAAAGTATGTCACGCATAAATTATGCGTGATGTACTTTATTATAAATATAACTTCTTTTTTTAACAATATGCAAACTCTACAGTTTAAACATATTTTGACTTTGAAAAAAATTTACTAAAAGTATATTCTGTAAAATCAAATTATAATTTTCTCCCTCGCTAGTTCTTTGGACGAGCGTGATTTTTTACTCTCGTAACGAAACTAACAAGCGCTATTTGTAACGCACAGAAGATAGTTTATCGGCGTGTTTCATGTGCACTGGCTGATCGCTCCCGCTTCATCACAAGGTCTGTATATATATATATATATATATATATATATATATATATATATATATATATATATATATATATATATATATATATATATATATATATATATATATATATATATATATATATATATTACTATGAATGCATGTTTAGATAACATCTGACTTCACACTAAAATAACCTGCTGCCGGGGGCTTCAGTACATACATCTACTATCTTATAGCCTGCTGCCACAAAGGATTGCTGCTACATTGATAGAGGGTTTGTCATAGGGCAGCAATCTTTTCTTTCATTATTCTTTGTGTTTTTTTTCTTTTACTGATAATGCCTTATAAATTAATGTAAAAAAATAGGATAAAAATTTTTATTGAAAAAGTACCCCAATTTTTCCCAACTTTTTTTTTTTTATCATTATGTTTAAAATGTTGTTTTTATAAAAAAAAACTATTCTTAATGATATTAATTTTAGAGGAATGGTTACGCCCAATTAAAAAGTACGATAAATATGCTCTGGTTCATTGGTGGTACTTTCCAGACAGGTAATCCCTTGTATCATAAACTTATTTTAGATTTTATATGAGCCTATGACTTATTAAGACTATAAGTTTGATCTGTGAGTTTTTAGTTAATAATGGGTAATAATAAAAAGCAGAATTCACAATGTTATTTACTCTAAGATCAAACTAATACTCTGGTGTTAAAGTTTTATGGAGTGGTTTGCTAATCTGGTTTGAACCTATAATTTTAAAACATCCAAGTTATTCCAATACTTAAGAAACAGAAGTATTGGAACTAGAAGCAATAATTCAAACAGTTATTACCTTTAGAACCATATTTACAACTACAATATGATTCAATGCAAATCAGCTAATTAACTATAAAATGACTTCTGTATTATCTTATAAATCATTTCTGATTGATAGACCACAATTACTGTCTTTGACAGTAATTGTGGTCTAGTCGTATATAGGTCTTTTTGTAAGTTTGAACCATCCCACTGTTACTATTATGCCCAAATTATTTCAATGCTTTGTCAGTGTTTTTGAGTTAAAAAGTTAAAAGGTTTGTAAAAAAAAAAAAAAAAAAAAAAAAAAAATGATTTTATTCTTAATTTCTTTGCTGTAAGAAGAAAAAAATCTTTTTAAAAAAGTTCTTGTTATATACCTTTATTTTTGTTAACTGTATACTTTTTTTTCACATTTTTTCTAATCATTTTATTTTTAACAATTTCTATAATATAAAGCTAATATATAATATAAATACTAATCTTTGAAATTTCTTCTAAAAAATTAAAGTGTAAAGTTATTTTTTTTTTAACCTGTGTGGTTGGCTACAGGTGCTTCATTTATTGTTTAATCACTCAAGTATGCCACAGAAAACATTTACCATAGAACTTAGTATTTTTTATCATCAATTTATTTTTGTAACGCATAAAGAATTGTTAAATCCATATATTTAATTAAAATATTTATTTGAAAGTTTAATTTTTATATATTTTCCATTTTATTTGTTAATAAAAGCATTAAAAATGTTAAAAAAAAAGTATTTAATGTATGAAAAATTTTGTACTCAATACTTTTCTTAAATAAACAATTTTTTTTTAAGTAACTTATTTATAAATAATAATGTGGTTAGTAATTTATTGATATTAAATATTATTTAATATTTAATATTGTTATATAGTATTATTTAACATAAATTGTTAAATAAATTTTTTGTAAAACCGTTAATAAGACTTTCAACAATAACATTTTAGTTTTAAATATATAATTTTTATTTAGTTATGATTCTTGGATACCTTTGAGTGAATGTGATCAAGAACCTGAGCCTACTCCAGAACGCTCAAAACCATGGGAGGTATATTTTTTTGTATTATAAATCTTTTTTAAACAACAATAGGTTGCAAAATATTTATAATAATTATAGCTATTAAGTTAAAAAAATAATTTCAGTTATCAAAATGTAAATTTTTTTATTACTTAAATATTAGTTAAATGGTCGCTGGTTATTAGATTTGGATGTGTTCAATGAATGGATGAATGAAGAAGATTATGAAATTGAATGTGTTGACGTAAGTTCCAATTATTTAGTTCTGTTCTTTTATCTGTTCTTCCTTCTTAATTTACTATGTGTTAGCAACTACTTGCTTATGCATAGCTGTAAGCAATAGCTGTTAACAATACCAAATAAAAAGGTTGTAATAAAAAAGTAAAAATTTGTCTAGCAAACAATTTGCTGTTGCATTGAAGATATTTTGTTATATTCATGCTACTTTTTTGAATTTTATAAAAGTATAAAAATTAAACTTTAATATGTAAATATGTAAATCAGTTCTGTTTGTATGTGTGCTTTTTTTATTGTTCTCTAGATAATTAGAGTAATTAATTCAATTAAAAAGCTCATTTTATAAATATTTATTTTCGTCATTCTGTTAAATTAAAAAGCTCGTTTTATAAATATTTATTTTTGTCATTCTGTTAAATTAAAACGATTTTGTTTTTTAAAAAGAATGAATGGAAGATTTTGATGTTGTTTCTTCTAATAATTGGCAAGTTTTTAGCAAATGTTTTTACGAAATTAAATTATAAAACAATACTTATATTAAATGTTTATTTATTAAAAGCTTTCAATTTAATAATAAATTTTTTTATAATTTAATTTTAAAATAAATGTAATGAAACATTTTGATTGTAAAAAATAACAGAAAGAGTTTCAAAAAAATTTTTGTTTAAAGCAATTTTCTCTTTATAATTTATTATTATTTAATAAAAAATTTCTTATAAATTATAAAAAAACACTTAAAAAGTAGGGAACCCTGTTAAAAGCAGTTCAAAAATTTTTAACTTTGTGGTTGCATATATGTCTATATAAAACTTATTATTAATAAGTTAGGCTTATTCATGGCATTTAGGGTAAGGTTGCCGATATTGTACCCTTTAAGAATAAAGTCAAAAATAGAGAGAAAAAAACAAAGTAGAAACAATTAGACTTTATTTTATTTTATAATTTAGGGATAAACTATATAGGGAACTAAATTTTAAAAAATATGCTATTGGTACAATTAAGGAAACAAAATCCTAAATTGTACTACTATAATCCAATATTTTACCTATATCTTGATTTTACAAATACTATATTAATTTACAGTACATTTCGAATGATTTTTGTAAAGATCTTTTTTTGTGTAAAATGTTTTGTATGTAAAACAGTTTTGAATTTAATAAGTTTTATTTAATAAGAATATAATATATTTTAAAAGTTTTCAAAACAATCGACATTGGCCAATGGTTATCAATGCCAATGTATTGGCTAAATAGCTGATACATCGGCAGGCCGATGCATCAGTGCACCCCTAATATTTGTGCGTGTGTATCAGAGTTGGCAAAAACCCAGTCCAGTTTTTTTGGGTAGTTTTATGTTTTATTGGATTTTTTTGGGTTTTATTTTTGTTTTGTATCTTTTTTTTTTTGTTTAATGATATTGAAAATTAGTATAATTTTCTACTTTAACTTTATTTAAATATATTTTACATAACGTTATTTAATAATTTATAACAAGAATTTTTCAAATTTTTATAAAAAAAGATTTTTAAACATAATTTAAAACTATAATAGAAACGTTTCACATTAAATTTATATCTATTGATTTATTTTAGATTTAAATGCAATATTTTTAATAATTAAAAATGTCAGTGAGAAATGGGAAGAAAAAAAGCTGGAGAATGGGAGAAAGTAAATGAAGTTTCAAATGAACTTCAAATTTGAAATTGAAATACAAATAACCAAACCTGTTTCTCTGCACAGGGGCCTTGTTCAAAAAGGTTCTTTTTTCAGAGTTAAAGAGTTGAGAGAGAGTTGTAACCACAATAAGGTAGCCTCCTTGACTGTAGTGGCCTTCTCAGCCTTGGGCAGGCGAATAAAAGATAAAAAAAGATGAATGACATAAAAGATAAAAAAAGGTGAATGACATAAAAGGTAAAAAAAGGTGAATGACATAAAAGATAAAAAAAGGTGAATGACATAAAAGATAAAAAAAGGTGAATGACATAAAAGATAAAAAAAGGTGAATGACATAAAAGATAAAAAAAGGTGAATGACTTAAAAGATAAAAAAACTCAATCTGTAAAAATATTTCAAAAATTTAATTTCAAAATTTCAGATAATCATTCAAATATTAGTAAATCTGCTCTGATAGCTGGATTATTATCTCAAGTTGGAATAAGTTCTTTGGCATCTTTTAGTTTTATAAGTTTGCTAAAACCTTGTAAGCAACAGCTGATTCATCATACACAATATCAATTCAATATCATTGAATGTCTAGCAATATTTAGAGAACCTAACAGTCTTCAAATCCAACACAAAAAATTTGGTGTTGTTTTAGATCAAGTATTTAATTTTTTTAAATTAAAGTTTTCATTAACAAATAAGTCTTGTAGACCTAAAGGGAAAAAAATAATTAAAAGTAAGATTAAGTAATAATAAAAATAATTTTTTTTTTTTCATAGGTAAAAACTTAATTATTGAAAATGTAATTGAAGTTTTCCCTTCTCAGCTAGCTACTATAATATGCTTATGTTTTTAGAAATGTTGGTTATAATAGTTCATAAAGCTATAAAATATCTTTAAAAAATCTCAATAAAACCCAGATTGGATGGGTTTTTTTAGGCGGGTTATTTAATGCCAACCCTGTTGTGTGTGTCTGTGTGTGTGCATTGATGTTTATCATTGTAAATAGTTTTCAGCATGAGCTATTGCATCCCTTGCATTCTTTAATAAAACAACCAACTTAATTTTACGTTATGATATTTCATTTTTTTATTTTTAGGGAAATATAGGGCCATTCTCTCCTCAAGGTAAATTTAAATTTTGTGCTTAATTGTTAATTTAGTTCAAAGATATTAAAAGTATATATTGGTCAAAATATTAAAAATAAGAAGTCATTGTTATTATTATTATTATTATTATTATTGTTAAATTTAGGAAAAGGAATAAAAAGAAGATTTAGAGGAAAGTCATTAAGCGAAGAGGTTTTTAACTATTTTCCAAATTTTACAATTGTATATTTAATGTAAAACTTAAATACATATATTTATATATTTAAAGTTAAGAGGACCATTACTGTAATCTTATTAAGCTAAATTTATTACTCTTAAATTATTTTACTGAAAAAATGAATAACTATATTTTTAATAAATGTAGAAAGTGCTCAAGAATCTAACTAAAGCTGTTTTGAAACTGCTAAAAAAGAATGTTATTTAATAGTAAAATTATTTCAAAATGTGGCATAAATATGTTTTTGTACTTAATACGCGTACAGCCTTATTCACCAAGGTTTTCCATCACAATAGTTTTTCATTCAGCTATTGTCTTGTAGAAAATCTTTTAGGCTTTTTCTAGATTTATTCTTTGTTCTTATTCTAGATTTTCTTCTTATTTTTGTTGTAAGCAAAAGTTTTCTCTTGACTAGCTTGTACCCCTTCTTCATAGGTAAGCCTGTTTTAGATTGCTTTCTGCCTTACATGATGAATGCCTAATCTTGTTAATCTCACAAGTTTTTGCTTTTCTTTTTGTTGTGGCTTGTGGCTTTGTAACTCTTTTTCTTAAATTTAGGAATTATAATTGTTAAATAAAATTAATAGTATCATATTGTGCATGGAAAGTTACAACTTAGGTTTTTTTAAAAAAGGAACTAATAACAATAGGTTGATTAGCAGGAATGAAGCAACTGCATAGCTTATTTTTTAGTCTTTAAAGTAATTTTTTATCCGTTGAGTTATTTACAAAATTCACCAGGGCTACTTGTTATTTATGAAAGTATTTTAAATTTGGCTATTTCCTCCTTAGATCTTTCATAATTCATCTTCATCTTTCATCTTTCATATTTCGTCTTCAGATCATAGTGCTGATTACAGTTAATCCTGATTTTTTGCAAAGACCCTAATAGTCACCACCACCTCCTAATAGTCACCACCACATCCTAAAAGTCACCACCACCTCCTAATAGTCACCATCACCTCCTAATAGTCACCACCACCTCCTAGATAAAATTGGTGTTGGAACTATGATTTTTAAATCTCACTTTGTTTGTGTTCACCTTCTTTATTTTTTTATTATCTGATTTTTTAATTATTGTGTTCACTTTCTTTATTTCTTTACTATCCGAAGATGAGGACTTGATTTAAATATTTTCTCTTTATATAAGCATTTCTTTAAAGACATTTAGCAGTGGACTTATGTAACACTAAGAAAAATCATTTTATTTGATATTTTAATAAACCTTTAAGTTGCAAATACTAGACTATTTGTTATTGTTTATTAAAAAAATTTTAAATTATTTTAAACATTAAGTAACTATATTTTAGTTATTTTTATTTTAGTAGTGATTAAATGTTTAAAAATACTTTAAACTTAATAAATAATAGTAATTACGCCAATTAAATGCTTACATCTTGTTTGTCTATTATTCATCTTGTAGTTAAATAGTTATTGTCTATATATAATATAATTGAATACAAAACATAGGCGTATATCGAGATTAATAACTTTTGCAGTGCTTCAATAATGGTTAAAAAATATGCAATTAAAAAATTTACAAAATTTATAAAATTTACAAAGGGTTTTTGTAAAATTCTTGTAAAAATTTACAAAGGATTTGCTGCAAGCAATCGCTAATTAGAGTTGGAAGTTACTGGAAGAGAAAAGATGAAGATTGTAGAGCAAGATAACGATTGACAGACGATTTAAAAGATTGAAAATTATATGAATCAGGAAAGCTAGATGAAGGAAGCGAATTCAAAAAAACTGATGTACGAGGAAAAAATAGAAAAAAGGTTTTGGAGCACTTAGGAACAGTCACAGAAAAAGGATGAGGCTTAATTGATTGACAAGTAACACAAGAATGAATTTTAGTAGATGGCACAAGAGGCGGTAGCTCTTTAGAGCAGTGCCCATTATAGTAATTGTAGAAAAGAGAAAGAAAAGTAACATTACAACAATATGATAATGGTTGGAGGTTGGCTGCAAAGGCAGGACCAACTATGTGTACAATGTGTTTTTGCATCTTGTCTAAAAGAGAAAGGGCATCATTAGAAGATCCGCCCCAGATATGACAACAGTATTCCATACCAGGACAGATTTGAGATTTATTTCAAGCTCAAATACCCCATCCAAACAATTAGAGAGTGTTGGCTTCTTATTATGACAAGAATAAAATAATATAGTATCAGGAAACAATGCCACCTTAGATGTAAGAATATCTGGAAAATCGTAAATGTAAATTAAAAAGAGTATAGGTCCAAGAATTGAACCTTGAGTAACCCCTGAGGTTACAGGATATGAAGAAGAGTGCTGTCCATTGAGAACAACTTTTATACTATAATTAGAAAGAAAGGATTCAATATTCTTAAAGATGTTACCTGATACACCATAAGAAGAAAGGTTATGGAGAAGACAAGAATGTTAAACTTTATCAAAAGTTTTAGAAATTTTGAGAGCGATAACCTCAACCTCTCTGCATCTATCTAATGCATGATAAAACCTATTGGTTATTACTGTTAGCAAATCAGCTGTAGAATGAGAAGATCCAAATCCATATTGATGACCAGAAAGTAAGTTATTAAATTCAAGATAAGAGATTAAGTGTTTTTTAATTAAATACTCACAAACCTTTATTATGATAGTAAGAAGACTAATGGGAGAGTTGGATAAGTCAGATTGCTCTCCAGATTTTTTGAAAATAGGGATAACAGATGCTGCTTTCCAGCAGGAAGGAAAACAAGACTCTGATAAGCTCTTGTTAAATAGTTTTGAAAGTATAGACGACAGTTTCGGAGAACACTTCTGCAAGACTATAACAGGTATGTTGTCCAGGGCACAAGAAAAGTCCAAATAGGAAATCACTTTAGATACAGAAGCTGGAGTAATACAAATGTCAGGCAATTGATCAACTTGTTTGTCAGCAATATCAGGTAGAATGCAACTAGTGGAATCAAGAGATGATATTGATGAAAAGTTCTTAGCAAACAATTCAGCTTTGTCTTTAGGTGAGGTGATAAAATCTGAACCATACAAGAGAACTGGAATAACAGATTTGCCCTTATTGATACTGTTAAAGATTCTCCAGAAGGCACGAGACCCTATTTTTAGTGATGAATTATGAGATTTCTTGACCTGAGAATAGCGAGCTTTGGCGTTAGACAAAACATTTTTAGAATGGTTTCTTGCAGTAATATACAGGCCTCTGTTTTCTGGAGAATTGTTTTGCTGATAGATATGAAAGTAACGGTTTCGATTGGCAATTGCAGCAGCACAATGCGAGGAAAACCATGGAGAAGAGAGAGGCTTGACCTTGACTTGTCGAGAGGGAATAAAAAATTCTATGCCGGTCTGAATCCACAAAGTTATATAAAAAGCACATTTTTCAGCAGGAAGGCAAAAGATTTCCCAAGGGCCATCACGAAGAAAATCACTGAAAGATTCCCAGTCAGCTTTAAGGTAGTTGTAAGAGGTACGCTGATAGGGTATTCTGATGATGAAGAAGAATGAGGTAATAGTTTTAGATCAAGCTGTGATCAGTAGCACCTAAGGGTGAATGTGGAGAAACTGAGCACTGACTAGGATCAGAAACAAGAAATAAATCAAGTAGGAAAGGTAAATGATTCGGGTTGTCTGGAAAGCAATTTGGAAAATTGACTATTTAAATTAGGGATTGAGAAAGGCAGTTTGGGCTTTAACACCTGCAGAATCACTGACACTAGAGCCAAGCCATTCAGTGTGATGAGCATTAGAGTCACAAGCAACAACAAAATTGGCTGATGGAAAAAGAGAGAGGGCTTTGTTAATTTGATCAAAAATAACATCAAAAAGAGTGCAGTCTTGAGATGAAGGGAGCAATATAGAACAAAGAGAAAGGCGATAAAGTGAAATGGTGCTAAATGAAAGCACATAAAAGAATAGTCTGGATTCAAACCTAGTTTTCTGACAAATTTTTTTTTTTTTTTTTCATCTTCGCTTCCTACAAGGCTGCAAGCAACCACTATGAGAGTTTTTTTTTTTTTTTTTTTTTTTTTTTTTTTATTAATTATCTTCGCTTCCAACAAGGTTGCAAGCAACCACTAATTAGTGTTGGAAGTTACTGGAAGAGAAAAGATGAAGATTGTAGAGCAAGATAACGATTGACAGACGACTTAAAATATTTCAAATTATATGAATCAGGAAAGCAAGATGAAGGAAGCGAATTCCAAAGAACTGATGTTCGAGGGAAAAAACTAGACGAATAAGAGTTTTTGGAGCACTTAGGAGCAGTAACAGAAAAAGGATGAGACTTAATTGAATGACGAGTAACACGAGAATGAATTTTAGTAGATGGCACAAGAGACGCTAGCTCTTTAGAGCAGTGCCCATTATAGTATTTGTAGAAAAGAGAAAGAGAAGCAACATTACGACAATGTGACAGAGGTTGAAGGTTGGCTGCAAGAGCAGGTCCAACTATGTTTACAATGCATTTTTGCACCTTGTCTAAAAGAGAAAGGGCATCATTAGAAGATCCGCCCCAGATATGGCAACAGTATTCCATACAAGGCCAGATTTGAGATTTATAGAGATAGAGAATAGAATCCAGAATAAGAAAGTGATGAGCTCGATAAAGAGAAGCAACTTTAGCAGATGCTAATTTTGCAACGGATTTGATATAAGGTTTCCAAGAAAGATCAGAAGTAAGAGTTAATCCTAGAAGATGAAGGGTAGGAGACTCATCGAGTACATTACCGTTCATAAATATAGGAAGGTCTAAATTATTGCGATAACGATTGGCTGAAAAAAATTGAGTTTTATCTGAATTAAAGTTCACCAGCCACTGCGAGCCCCATGCTGTAGCAGAAGTGAGATTCTTTTTGAGCTCAGATGGCCCCTGCAAGCAATCAGAGGGAGTTGGCTTCTTATCGTGACAAGAATAAATGGTAGTATCATCAGTGAACAATGCCACCTTAGATGTGAGAATATCTGGAAGATCGTTAATGTAAATTAAAAA